CCATAAATGCAAAACCCCCATAAATGCAACGCAACGCTCGGTCCCGAGGTGTTGCATTTAGGGAGGTGTCACTGTATATGACAGCTTAATGAAGAAGAAAGAATAATAATGACGAGGAAAGGTCTGCTGAGGAGGAGTTAAAGAACAAAGATTCAAAGGAGGAGGCAAGTTGAAATATATAGACCAATCTAACATCGTAACGTTTTAATACACAATGAACTAGTTTGATTAGTGTATTATGGGAACGTTTTTAATAAAATCCTTTTTCATCTGCGATTGCTTCGGCGGCTGTCAAATGTTTGCTGTAATAAGATTAGATGTAGTAACGGATTCTCCCGATTTTCCAACATATCCAAAATACAGCCCAGTTCTCGTCTGCTTTTCATGATAATAACCTCTGTCAACGCTTCTTGACACTCAGCAGTAGTAGTAACCAATGATATCCAGCAGACTGATGATCAATTGTGAAGACAGTTATTGGCGAAGAGTTGGCTCTAAACAAGTGATACGATTCAATTCATAAGATCGCGTTATAGTAAGTTTCTTGATTCTCACGGCCGTAAGCGAACAATGACGCAAAAGAGCTTCCGTCAATGAGTGTGCCTCATCGGTACAAGTATCAGTACCAAGTGCTTCTGATACCACAGCTATCAAGTAGTCATCCATTAACTCCTCCAGATATCGGGCATAATTTATAGATGAAGCAGTCGAATTAAAGCAAGAGTCTTCGTTATGTAGTAACTTGAAAAACAAATCCTGTTGTTGCTTATCTTCTATACATCTAACAAATGTCAGGACAAATGCTCTGCTTTTCTCTGCAATGCGTTGACCGTTGAGGATCACTCCATAGCCATGGCACTATTGTCCAAAACCAAGCCCGATTGAGTAAAAGGAAACAACGTAACATCGGAATGTGCTCTCGAAAGTGGGATGCGATTTCATACAGGACATCGTAAACGAGCTCTATCGGCATTTTGAAATGTTTCGACGGAGAAACAAGCGCATTGATGCGGACGTTGGATTGAACGAAGGCTATATAAATTACTGATCATCATATTAATATAGCAACTTAGTCACATGATTGATTGAATTGATACTAATACTGGAATAGTTTCCACGTAAATATATATATTATTAAATTTCATATTATTCTGAAGCTGAAAGAGCAGAATTTATATTTTGTTGCGCACCTTATTTACTATTACGTTGCGCATACCTTCTAAATATAATGATATCACTATGTATCATACTAATACTCCTTTACTAAAAAAGCTTCTTTCCAATTGCCATGATAATGAAGCAAGCTAAGCATGTATGTTACAAGAAGCAACATTTTCCAAATTCTTAGAAGAACTAAACCCTGCTGACTGTTTTTTTTTCTTATCATCATACCATTTTAGCAAAGATTTTGCTGAGGGACGTTCTAAAGGATTATTTGCTGTCATTTTTCGAACAAGTCTGGAAAGTAGAGTATGACTGTTGGACGTCCTGAGCTGTATGTATAATTTAAGCAAAAATAACGTACTTGAGTCATGTATAGGAAGGCAAGACTTACCAATTATTATGATGCTTACCTGGGAATGAAAATATCTAAACACTTGTCCCAATGACCAAATATCTGCCGCAAATGGGTTAAAGGTGCCTTTTTTTTGTGTTTCCGGTGCATTATAGCCTGGAGTTCCAATTTCATCGCCCTCTGTTTGAATGTGGTAACTTCCTTGATCATCATTAAAAAAGATTGCTGAATCAAAATCTAGAAATCGAAGTTTCCCTTCTAGGAAAGCAATATGTGAGGGTTTCAAGTCCAAATGTGCAATTTTCTTTTCATGCAAATATTGTATTCCCTAAGCAGTTCAATGTAGTAAGATATTTCAACTTCTTTTCATAATAATAAATGGCATGCTATGAATAGAGGGATACTCACTGACAATGCCTCAACAATAATATGGGGCATGCTGCAACAAAACCAGACAAAGTGAACATTCTGTTATATGACATAAATGTGAGGCTGATGTGGCTGTAAAAGTGACCAGTGTGATTGATGACGTTTTGAAAGTAATAACGGTGCTCATTCATAACTTATAGACTTGTTAATTTTAATGCTCACTTTATCATACCAGAAGGTGAGGAATATAAACCAAAACAGGGTTAATATAGGACTATCCCTATATAAAATATTAATATGAAACTAATTTACATTAAATCCACCATGGAACCCAAGAATTACAGCACCATTAGAAGCATTCTAAAAAAAGAGCAATTACTTCTTTACTTTTAATCAAGGTTATCTCTTATTTTCTTTAACTTCAATTTGAGCAACATGTTGGGTCTGCTGTTTTCTTAAGAACTCAACCTCACTTTCA